GGGGGGGCAGGGAAAGGTACAAAAGGGATCCATTGATTTAAGACTATGATCTCATCTTATTCTTCTCATTATTGCATACTACCAAATTGTGCGGTTGTAAATTTGACTGATAGTTCATCGTCCTTATACGACCCTGCATCACAAAATCGAACAAATGCAAATTAATATACAATTTTAACTGCCATATCTTACGTGGAACAAGTAGAAGAGAGCGTTGGAGTAACGGTAAAGTTGTCTCTGTGTGACCGATAATAGGCTATAATTATGTAGTTTAGCTACTATTTGCACTCTAACTTAGCTGCACTTTATTGATATTTGAATGTTAAATGATAACAAATTGCTCTAATTAAGAACTTTATGCTTTGCAGGAGCAATTCCGTGCTATGAGAACGTTAAAGAGTGTTTTGGAGCTAATATGGAGCATTGAAGGCCAATTGGAGGTTAGCGCGCTTAAAAAAAAGAAAGAAAAAATACTGCAGAAAATCTTCCAGGTGCGCGGTCTATGCGCGGCCGCGTACTGGGCCACACATGTCAGGCAGAAACTTGCCTAAGTGCGCGGTCGATGCGCGGTTGATGCGCGGCCATGCACGTGCTTCCGAGAAAAATCGTCCAAGGCCAAATTTTTAATTTGAGAGGCGACTAACCTTGACCTATATGAAGCCCAGCTCGCCCAAAGAGAGGGTATCTCTATTTTTATAAGAACTTTGGAGGCAAGAACAGAAAAGGAGCAAGACGGAGAATTCTCCTACGAGTTTTTCATCTTCTTCTTCTTAATTCCATTGTTGGTTATGACTTTTTATATTGTAATCATGCATAGTAGTATGAGTAGCTAAACCCGTCATCTAGGGTTGATGGAACTAATTATTGGATGAAGTCTTCATTACGGTTTGATGTAATATTGATTTTGTGGGATCATTTGCCAGCTCGTATGGTAACAAGTATATATTGGTAGTAGTTGACTATGTCTCCAAATAGGTTGAAGCTGTGGCCCTACCAACAAATGATACCAAAGGAGTGACAGGCTTTCTAAAGAAAAATATTTTCACATTTTGGCACTCCGAGAGCTATAATCAGTGATGGTGGAACCCATTTTTGCAATAGAGCATTCGCAAGGCTATTAGAAAAGTATGGAATTCGCCATAAGGTTGCCACACCTTACCACCCACAAATGAGCGGGCAAGTGGAAGTGTCCAACGGGGAAATCAAAAGTATCCTGACCAAAACAGTGAATGCAACAAGGACTGATTGGGCAAAGAAGTTGGATGATGCATTATAGGTGTACCACACACCATTTAAAACACCAATTGGTATGTCTCCATATAAGTTGGTGTTTGGAAAAGCATGCCATCTTCCGATGGAGCTTGAGCATAAAGCCTTCTAGGCACTGCGGCAGTTGAACTTGGATATGGAAATCGCAGGCACAAGTAGAGTCACAGAGCTATATGAACTAGAGGAATTTCGGTTCCATGCATTCGAGAATGCAAGATTGTACAAAGAAAGGATGAAGATGATGCATGATAATCACATTCTAGATCGGAACTTCAAACCCAAAGATCTAGTGTTGTTATACAACTCGAGATTAAGATTGTTTTCGGGTAAGCTGAAATCTAGATGGTCAGGACCATTTAGAGTTGTGCAAGTGTTCTCAAGTGGAGCAGTAAAAATTGAGTCCGAAGATAGAACGAATAGGTTTAAAGTGAATGGGCAAAGGTTGAAACTCTACCTTGGAATGGTTGAAGAAAAAGAGGAGAAAGTTGTGATGTCTTTGGAAGAGCCCCACTATGTGAGCGAAGTGCAATCATGAAATCATGCGTCGTGCCGCGGTGTTAAATCAGGTGCTTCCTGGGAGGCAACCCATGGTTTTGTTGTAATTCGTTGTGCCGCGACGTTAAATCAGGCTCTTCTTGGGAGGCAACCCAATATCTTTTCTTTATAATTATTTTTCGTATTTGATTTTGAATGGTGAAAGTATTGATAGGTCTATTAGTGTGCATGGATGAAATTGTGCGCGACGGAAGGACTTAGGGTGAAGAAATCCATTCGGAGATAGGTAAAAAGTGGCTAAAAGGAAGAAATTTCGAAGGACAAAACGTGCGCGGCCGCGCACTGACCGCGCACTTTCGGACCCATACTGTTGCACATGCGCGGCCGCGCATGGACCGCGCATTTTTCGACCTCCACTGCCCCTCGTGCGCGGCCGTGCACTGTGCGTTGTTTTTAGGTTATTTCATTGGTTAATTTTATTTTCTTTTCGTTAGTTTTTATTTTTATTTTTCCTTACTAATAACCGACCCCCCCCTCCCCACACACACACTTATTCCTCCTCTAAAATCTGAATAAAATAACAAAAACAAACCCTCTTCTCTCACAACAAGCACACGCCCAAAACCCTCACTTCTCCCCAATTTCAAAAGCAAAAAACCTACCTACCTTTCCTCTTCCCTACTCAATCACTCTCCAATCTCTGTTCCTCACAAGCTTCTTCAGGTAAGTGCCATGACTTCTATTTTCCCTTTTCTTCAGTTTTTATTATTTTTAGTTTCTCCAATTTTTTTCTTTTCTTCTTCTCTTTTAATTGTATGGTAGTAGAAGTTATTGTTGTTCTTTTCTTTGCTTTGTATTACTAAGTATATTGTTGGTATGTGAGGATAGTGGAATTTTATCTTGTTGGGTTGGATTAGAATTTATTAAGATTGAGGTGGAATTGAGGTATAAATGGGTGTTTGGGGAATTTGGGGTAAACTTACACATCAAGTGTTTGTTTAAATGCCACTGTAAGTTCGTGAATGTAATTTGCGACCAATTGTGCGGGTGAAGTCTGAGTAACCGCTATTGGTTCACACATCCCACCTTGTACTGATAGTGGTATTTGTTTTGTAGGTACTATGACACCCTCAAAGAAAAGACAAACCACAGGCGCCTCTTCTAGTGGTCATGCAGGCTCGTCCCGAGCACGGGCCTCAACCAATGTGCCTCAGTTTAATAGCACAAGATTTATATCAAGCTCAGCCCCGGAACGTTTTAGTCAGAAGGCTCCTAAGAAGCCCATACCGGAACGGGGTATTGATAGGGGGTCCCTCCAGATTGATTGCCCCAATATGTATCCGGAGTTGGTTCGACACAGGCTGGATATTTTCTTTGAAGAACCTGAGGAGGCCAACTTGATGGTTGTACGAGAGTTCTACGCGAACTGCTCTGAACATGAGGACTATATTTGCACTGTGCGAGAAAAGAGTGTTGATGCATCGATAGACGCCATTAGGAGGGCGTATCGGCTGCCAGTATTTGGTGGGTAGGGCGAACTCATGACCTATAAGTCATGAGTTCGAGCCATAGTAGCAGTCACTATTGCTTGCATTAGGGTAGATTGTCCACATCACAACCCA